CAAGTTCGCATGGGAGAACACACGGATTGTTGGCAGTTGCCCAACTAGAAAAAGCCGTGAATTCCTGGAAGCAATGCACACAGACGAGACATGCATCAACGGGTATATTGATTTGGACGCTAGCTACGGTTACTTCAAAGCCAAATTTAATGCGCGCCACCAAAACACAACAGACAGCCAAATAACGGAAGGTACATAGCACCTACAAGCACAGATCGAAAATCCTACCGATCGGTGCACACGTCGGAAGAATATTTAATTTTCGAACATTTAAACACGTTAGTTGTTTGTTACACAATTTTTCCACATCGGACGACGACCGGTTGGTCCGTGTCAAAAATTCACGAAATAAAATTGGACATTTCCCAAAGAAAGTCTTATTCTCATAGATGATTTATTGTCAAATTGGGCTTCCAACTTCCAACTACTAATTTGTGTATTTGCGAAGCTTTAAACGCTTTTGAAAAACATTAACATGATTCTAGTCAAAGTGCATGAAAAGGGATTGTTCGCTTGAAACTGGACCCAAGTTTGCATGGGACCAAATCAACATTGTACGCTCTTGCCCATATAGGAAAGGCCGCGAATTTTTAGGGGCTATTAACTCTAACAAATCATGCATCAATAGGCACGTTGAATCAGATTTGATGTACACTAACCTCAACGAAGCCTGAAAAAGGCGTCAATCAACAAAGCCTGCTATGTACCAAGGATGACGAAGCATTATCGATTTTTCGGTAGGTTTAAAGATGCGCACTATTCTGTACACATTTCCGTCACGTCCAACTACGAACTTTTGTGCCAGAGCGTAATTTTTTCAGTAAAGTTTGTTTACGTTTCCCAAAGAACTCCGTCGACCAAATTATTTTTCTTGGGAGGACAATTTTTTCAAATTACATAACATTACGTATATTCATACCCCTGATATATTTTGTTGAAAAAGACAATGGAAACTTCAGCGATAGTCTGCTTACAAAAATGCATGCTGATTACGATTCGGATAAGAGTACTTGTTTAAATTTATCCACACATAAGTCGTCTTTTACTGCAGAAGTTACTTATGGCTTGAACAGCAGTTGGGAATGGCATCTGTTCA